ATATTCTTTGTCATTACTTGTAGCTTTAGATTTTTTTTTCATTAAGTCATTTTCTTTTAAGCAAGTATTAGATTGGAATAGCCCTATGTTAAAATATTCTTTGTATTATAGAGTCTACCATGCTAGAGGGAATTGTGAGCTTTTATCAAAGCTAAACCAGAAGTTTTTTCTCATTCAATCTTTTCTACTTTAATCTATTTTCAACTTGTGATTATTAAAAAGACCAAAGATTCTATCCTTATTTAGTCTAGCTAAATTTGGTCAAAATCCAGATGTTTGAAATATAATATTTGTAGGAAAACTGATAAATCTATAAATGAAAAATAAATTTTTATATTTTGCTTCTTGTAGATATTAAACTAAGGACATGTATTTGAAAACTTGAAAACATTATTTATTATACTATTGACCTATAGATTATTATTTAATTTCTTATTTGACTAGCTATCTATTATTATTTATAGTAGTATAGATATACTTTCTTTAGTTACAATATATTTTATAAATTACTGATTTATAAGTTGATATATTAGAAATATTGTATCATACTAAAATCTATTTATATTATATTGTTTTATATAATATTACTAAATATAAAAATATATTATATATTAATAATATATAATTGAATTTTTTTTTATTTCTTTTTAAACAGAATATAATAATATAAATTTATATTATAGCTAAACATTCTTATAAGCTATAACATATTTGTCAATAAGCTTAATAAATTTATATGTGATTCTTAAATCTTTAATATTATAACTATTATATTTTTTATATAACTTAATTACTGTAAAAGATATAAATAATATATAAAAGTACAAATAACTTTATATTTAGAAGATATTTAATATATAATTTAAATATTTATTATTAATAAAAGATATATATTGTTATATAATTTGTCTTCTAAAAAAAAGAATTAATATATTAATTATTTTTTATTATATTATTAATATTTTATTTTATTTAATATTTTTTAATAATTTATGTATCAAATAATAATTTATAAGAGTTATAAATAATAGTTATTTTAAATTGATACTTATAATATATACTATAAGTATTAAAGATAATAATTTATAAGAGTTGCAAATAGTGATTAAAGATAAATATTCTAATATAGTAGAAATAAAGACAACAATTTATATAGCAAATATATTGTATAATATATTTATTTCAATAATTTTATTATAAATAGTTAGGTTCAAAATTATATATAAATAAAATTTAAATTGAAGATAACTCTTTTCACTGATTCTTTTGTCAACTTCAAAAACAGACATTTTCAAAAGATTTTATATCTTTATAATAATAAAATATATATATTTTCCTTAAAAATATTGGTTTTTTAATTAGCAAAGCAAGCAGCAGCTACCACTTGTCTACTTTTTCTTTTTCAAAACACTTTTCTTATTTATTTCTGCAACTAAATACAAAAACCTACTTAAGAGGTTTATGGCAAGAATATCTTTCTAGGAAAAAATTGACAAGAAAAAATATCTTTCAAAGATTTTCAAGAGATTCAAGAATCTAAAGAAATAAAGAAAAAGAAGTCTCTGGCCTTTCTATTATCTTTTTGGCTTTCTACTCCTCTTTTTTAAGCATGCTTTCTTTTTTTTGATTTGTTTGGAAAATTTTGCCTATCTTAGTTTGACTTTGAATTTTTAGTTACACTAAATCTTTTAAAAGATAATTGATCAAGGTCATAGATTGATTGATTATATCAGCTATAAAAAGTAAACAAAATATATCCTCTTATGTGTTTTCAGTCATATAACATCAAATTCAATAATATAATTGATTTCTAAAAAAGTTAAATAGTTTTTAGTTAAAGGAAAAGTATAGGAGTACTAGGTGAAGTTGAAATTGTAGATAAAAAAAAATAACCTTTTTTGTTTTCTCTTTTTTCTTTTTTTCCTATTCTTATTAGAGGCAGAAAATAAATACAAGACTCAAGTCCTATTTCAATTTGACAACAAGTTGGAGTAACAATTATTTATTTTGAAAATAATTAAAGAAAAAGATCTTGAAACTATTCACTGGTTAAGTAAAGTAATAATTTCAGAAGATATGGTTTGGAAGAGAAATTAACAATAGAAAATCAACATTTTTTTTTATTAGAAATCTTTGAATATAAAGTTTTAAGAAATACTTTCCTAAAAATATCCTTAAATGTTCTTGGATATTGTTGCTTCAATAGAAATTATATAGTCTGGCTAACTATAGATGGTAACAAGTAAGTATAACAGCAATTATGAGAGGCTTAGATTTTGGATTGCAGAAATACTTTTTCAATGATAGTTAGAATAAATGATAATTTTTTTCTTCTTTTATTATTATTTTTTTTTATATATACTTATGCTATTTCTCTTTTTCCTTAAAAATTCTTTTTTATCCCTTTTTTCTTATGTAGTTTTTACAAAAGAGGTTTGATACAATTTGAATTTATGGTTATGACTGTAGAGATGATCTGCAGGTTTTGATTTTATTGAAAGCTTTGGATCTTAATCCTATCCATTAAGGGAACAACTTATTATCTCCATAAATTATATTTAAAGGCTTTGGCTATTGACAGGTAAGCTGGGTTAAGAAGATTTATATGTTGCATGTATTCTTGTACTTGTAATTGATTCTTATGATTTAATAAATAAAACAATACCAGCCTGATTGTGGGTTAAAAAAAAAATAAATAAAAAAAAATAAATAAAATTTAAATTATAAAATATAATTATTGTAAAATATGTTTTATACAAATTATAATAAAAAGAAAAAAATTTTTTATGGTTTTAAATATAGTTTTTAACAATTTTTCATAAGTTAAAAAAAATTTTAAAAAAGTAATAAATCAATCAATAAATTTAATAAAAATTTTCTAAATTATTTTATAGTAAATTATTTTGTTTTTTTTAAAAAAAAACATAAACATATCATTATTAAAACATCAATTATTTTTAGAAATACTATTAAATCTTTTGTATTAAAATCTTTTTCTTGTATTTTATGAAAATGTTTATATTATCGAGAATTTTTGCAACGGTTGTTAATTTACAATTAAACTTTAGTGGTCTTTTGATTATAAGAAATTTTTGTTTGTGTGTCGTTGTTTTTTTATATTTGGTAATAAATGTATATTATAATGTGCTATTTTTACCACATTCATGTAACCAAGTATTTTCCTTTTTCAACTTTGATCAACTCGGGTGGCTGTTACATTAATGTACAGTACATGTAAAACAAAACAAAAACAAAAAAAAAGAACCAACATTCGAAAGGAAAGTGTCACGTTTACAGTAAATTTACAAGTAATTTTTTTTGTATGCAAACCGGACGATACCTTCCGTGATGACTGACTGTGCACTATTATTTTTGTTATATATTTTTTGTAAAAAAAACAATTATTTGAATTAAATTATAAAAAGTAATAAAATCAGGATAAAAATGAAATCTAAAAAATAACAATCGTACCAATGATAAGAATTTCATTGGCTCTTATTTAGAATTCCATTAAAAAATAGGAGGATGTTTTGCATTAGCCGACTTTGTGCAGTTGCATTAATGTCGAAATTTTTAATTCATACATAAAACTTTGATTTTACATCATACCAAATAATGTTACAAGCTTATTAAAAAGTATATATTTCGATTATTTCAAGAGCGCCTTTGTTGGATTTCCATTTTTGATATACTGTAAATGAATGACATTAATTTGGATTACTTGGGATCAGGAGCTGAAATCATGGTTATACGTATTACATCACTATCGGAGGACTTAAAGAACAATCCATTGTGTCCAGTTGATTGTTTATCTCGCGACATACGAGCATTTGACCATGTGTATACTGTATATTGTGTGTTGCTGATATATTCTTGATTTAATGTTCATTCCACAATTTTTAGTGAAATCACCTTATTTGTTTTCGGTATATCAGGGGAACCTTTATAAAAATGAACGCTCATTTAATAATAAAATTTAGGTCTTTCTCTTTTTTGCTTATTGTTGGTTATCTTACGTTCCCAGTAGTTGAAAAACTTTTATTCATTCCGAAAATTTATTGATGGCAGAGTTGTTCCCAAATTTATCCTTTAGGCGAAATTCAACAGACAGGTCATACCAAGCAATATTAGACCGTACAGAACCTCATCAGAAAATCGCCATAAAACATTTGAACTTTTCTTATGGTTTACATCGTAATGTTATTGATGCCACGGATTTTAAAGTCTACGGCATTGGGGAAGGTAATTTAAATTTAGCACAATACCCAAACTTGGCAAGGATTACTTTCCAGGATGGAATCGATGTCGATAAGTTGGACAGTGTTAACATTAGCCAAAATGAAAGATTAGGCAGGATATATATAGGCTCTAGCGGTAGAAGAAATCCTTTTAGGGACTCCCCTTGTGTCTTGCTTGTCAAAGAAAGTCAAGTCGATCAAATAATTGTGGTCTACTATGATCAAAGAAACAGCATGGAAAAAAAGTTGAGAAGGCAAGATGCAATACCCTACCGCGTAGTTGAAACTCTGCAATTGGAGGCTGAAGTGGAAAGACTAAGACAAATTATTGTTGAAAAAGATAAACAAATTGAAAGGTTACAAGCGGAAGGTGAACAGAGACTAAGTCTCGTTCAAGTTCAGGAATTAAATGATATAGCACTGCCAGGCAGTGAGTTTGATTACGCCAATTTAAAACAGGAGATCGTAAGGCTTAAATTAGAAGATCTCGTTCCCTATCTTCGAAGGCAAAAAGAAAGGTATGATCACTTAGCCATAGACCTTAAGAATAGAGTGAGTGATACCTTGAAACCAATCGTGGACCTTCTCATGAAAACTCGAAAAGACATTTTCGAGCAAACCGATGTAAATAATAATGAATTTGCCCAAGGAAAACTGCAAGGAGAATTAGCCGTTTGTCAGACTCTCTTGAAAACCAGCCTTACACAAGAGGAATTACAGTCTCTTCTAACCGCTCAGGATGAGATGATGAAAATAGAAATGCAAATAGCTAACTTGCAGCGTAATCAGAGACCCGGTGCTAATTCGACAACTTGAAATGTCTTTGCGATAATAGAGACCAACTCGGAGGTGAACTTTTCAGGGAAATTAAGAATTGTATATTTCTATTAGATGTGATCTTACGGATATGTAAATTACAAATTTACAGTATATCGGTTTTTTAATTGACAATTATTTGATATAATTATCAATCACTATACTTTCATTACATTATACTTATATAACCATCTCTAGGTTAAAAGTAAAATGTCTAATTAATAAAAAAAAAACCACGTGTGATAGTAAAAAGAAATTAAATTTAAATACAGAAGAATTATGCATATTAGCCTATCGCTGATCATGTGAAAAAATAAAAAAACTCTGTGGTTTTTTTTAACTACATCAACTTTCTGCTACTTTTTGTAAAAAAAAAACATCCAATTATTTGTCCAAAAATATTAGAATAAATAATTTTTTTATGATGCAATAAGAAATTATTAAATAATCAAAAAAACAATTAGTTATAAAATTATATTTTGTCTTTTAACTTGAGAAAAATATATCAATTATTATATTAATATTGGAAACTTTGCTGATAAGTATTATTATAGCTTTTTTTTTTTTTTAAATGAAATTATTACAAAAATTTATCGTTCTTTATACTGTAACGTTCTACTTTACTATGACAATATTGACACTTTTTAATTAAAAAATTTTGCACATCTTGTATCAAAAGTGAATTCATTTTCATCCATAATGGAACAAAAAATTACAGGATATAAGGAATTTTGTGTGTTGATTTTTTTTCGTCTTCGGACTGACGCATCTTTTCGTTCTTTCGTTTCAGCACTAATCTCATAATTATGGCGCAAATTGCGGCTATCAACAGAAAAGATGCATTGATCATGTGACCTTTGACTATATCATGAAACAGAATAAAAATCGTTATATTAGGATTAGATGACAAGGGAATAAATAAATAATACATACAATAATGGGGTTCTTCAATTGACGGATAAATATTCGAGGAAATAATACCTACAAGAGATCATTAGAAATTACACCGTCAGCAAAACGCATTCAAAAAAAAAAAGTTAAGTAAGATTGATTATTGTGTGAGACGAATCATAATACCAGAGATAATTCCGGCAGAGAGAATGAGGGCTATGGCGATTGCACGTTTTTCACGAGGATGATAAAAAATATTTGGTATCCATGCAAGAGTCATTGCACCAGCTGCCCATGTACCTAGATGTGTAGAATTTTTAATGCAAAATCGACTCAATGAAAGCTATACAATAAATAAATATATGCCAACCTGATGTGCATAAAAATGTAGCTGAATATAGCATTCCCGCATTTTTCAAATTTGCCAACATAAGAAAACCGATTGCACCTATAATCGCACAACAAATAATATGATGTCCTCTTAGTTGCACGTGATCAGAATGCAAAGAGACCACTAACGAAAAAAGCCACCCAAAGAAATAGGGTGGCAAAGTCAGCAGTTGAGTCTTCAAAGAATCGAATCCCATTTTATATATGAGGGTTGGTAAATATAATGATATCGAATTTAGTGCGGTATTGATACAAATGTTATGTAACACCATCAGATAGACTCTCCAGTCTTTGAGTGTTATGAATAATGCGTGTTTTATGGTGACTGTACGTATCTGTTCACCAGCTGTTCCATGTTCTGGGTGAAGGCGAGACATTAGAAGCTGTCTCTCTTTGGTCGTTAGAAATTTTTCATCCTCAGGAAAGCCTGGAATAATTAAACTGATGTACGAAAACAATGAATTTTGTAAGTTCACATCGGTTTATTTTTCTCCCAATAAACATTTGTCCGATAATAACCTACAGGGCAATAAGAGAAACGATAAAACTAACGATTCCCTCTAATAAAAATAACCATCTCCATCCTTGAATATTTGCCTTTCCATTCATGTTTCCAATGATCACATATGCCAACAATCCGCTGTTTTTGGCATCATTATTATTGAAAAAAAAAAAAAAGATTATTGTTGGGTAGGATTGATTCAAGCCATCTTCCTTGAAATAGGAGTCATAATACTAACCCGAAAGCTCCGGCCAAAACATTACCAGAAATAAAGATAGTAAATCGCGTTCCATACTCTGATCGTTTATACCATAGGCTCAAAAGAAGCAATATGCCGGGGACGAAACCTAAACAGAAATTAAAAAATATAGTAACGTTCGATAAACATTCATTCATGTTCCTTTGCTCTGTCTCACCCACCGGCTTCGGCAACACCTAATAAAAATCTGGTGGCTATTAATTCATCGGAATTCCTTACTGCAGCCATCAACGAAACTATTATGGACCAAGACATCATTAAAAACGGGATCCACCTTGATGGTTTGATTTTTTTCAATACCTAATTTACGTA